CAACCTAAACTTTCAAATACTTTAAAAATCAACCGCATCAATAAATAAATGCACGTTCCGACCTTAATAACAATTGAAAACCAAAGACCAGCTTGGTCCAAATCACCAGTTACCTACTAACTAACTACCTAATTTGATTAATGTTCAAAATGAGGTCAACTCCTACAAAATTCTAAGCCGTTTAATGAGCTGAAATGTTAAAAAGACGTTTTAAATTATGACTAACGATAAAATCAACTGTTATTCTTAGTTTCGGTGCTTTATTTGCATTCTCAAATATCGTTTAAGAGATTATGATCTAGAAATCATTCATTAAGTCCATTTTAGTTAGCTACTAGACAGGAACGGACTTCGGTAACTATGGGGATTCTTACATTTTTAATATAGCCTTTCTATTATTTTCTTTTCCTTTAATAGACTCTTTCTATCGAATAATATTTATAAACAGTTTCTCAGGGATATATAAACGGTTCTTTACTTTTTAATATATTTATTAACAATATTGTGTGTAATTATTTATTTAAATTTAAAAGTCTACCCGACTGGTCTGTATATTTATATACTGTGTTAACTCTGCTTTCCTCACTTTATTATAACAGTATAGAAACACAATAGTATTGATTAGAGAGAAATAGAATAATAGGCGAAGACACTCACATATATATCTTCTTAGTTCTTAGGCGAGAATGTCCGGTAAGAAGAACTACTAGGTCTTTCCTGGATAGTTGTTCCACCATTCCTGAGACTCTTTTTGTATTCATTGTATAATGGATGCCTGGTACAATGACTTTCTAACAACTTCACAGAAGGGTTCGTTATGGTCTTATCTGATCCAGTAGATCATTAGTAAAGTTAGTCGATGGTTCTTTAATCAACTCATTGGCCTGTCTCAATCCTTTCCAGCATTCCTGAGACTCCTGAGGCATATATTGTTTCTGTGCCTGTTATCGCCTTTTCTGCGCCTTTTCGGGCTAATTAGTAGACCTTTCGATTATCCTAATATACTTGTGACTTGCTATTCAGGGTAAGGTCACTTTATTTTGACTGCTTAGCTCTGTCAGATCTTCTGGGCAGTCTTTCATTAGTCGTGATTTAATTTCTGGTAAGAACTGCTTGGCTATCACGGTAGATGGATGGTGATAGTTTTGCCTGATAGTTGCTAAAAAGTCCAACTTAATTTAAAAAAAAATTTAATAAATATAATTAAAAGAAACAAACAACTCCAACAAAGTTTCCTACCTGTATGACAGTCTCAAATCAACAACCATCCCCATAACAATTTATAACCTCCTTAAACTAAAGATTTTTTTGAACGTCAATATTGCTATTGATGACAATTTTGACAATCAAAGATAAACATTTTATTTCTGGCGTAATGTTTTCCTAAATTTTCATATTCAAGAACAAGTCAAGCACGTCGTCGTAGCGCCCCGCCCACTGTATTGAATCAGCAGATCACCAACGTTGCTATTACTCTACCAAACATTATAGGCGTTCATTTGTTTAATGATTATTATGTTCTTTTATGATTTAAAATTTAAAGATTCTTTTGTGAGCTGGCATATAGTATTAGTATTATACTAGATATATTAGATATTAAGGTATGTTCCAACAACAATCAAAAACCAGTTACTAACATCACCTTTTTACTTTAAATATTTTGACCTACATTATTAACTTTGTATATATTGTATATACATAGTTCTTGAATTTTTCTAAACCAACTTTGACACTGATGAAATCTGCATCCGGTAAACAAGACAACTATGGCAGCCATTTACTTAAATTTTAATATTACTTTGCGGAATTCATGTTGAGGATTTTTTTAGGTCGATTGTTATCATTCGAAATTCGGAAAAAACACTTTATGGTTTAATTAATGACCAAAAATCAAAAGTTTCTCATTGCAATGTATAAATTACCTCAATCGAAAGATTTTGTTAATTTTTTATACACCAATTTGCATCTTTTTCTTAATTCAATGAAAAAAAATGCCGCTTTTCGATCAAAACTCGTTTCGCCTTATAGAGAAAAACCAAGCAGAACAAGCAGTAAGTCGTTATTACATCACCATAATCACTAATTACCGCTGTAGTTTTTTTTTTAATTTTATCGTTGCTACCTCTCGAAAATAATTACCGAAACGTTTTGACAAGTCGCGTCTTTTAGATAGCTATTATAACGGTTATAAATAAATTCGACCTGAAAATATTTCGTTAATTATAATGGACAATGCGTGGTTTACATAAAAATCTTTAAATATTTAAATTGAAATTCCAATGCAAGACAGATAATTATAATAATATAATAATTATAACTCTAATATGCTAATGAAAATTGCATTAAAAATTTAACTTTTTTATTACAAGTTCTTAATTCTTTTTAGCATTCATCTTTTTCTTCTTTATCTTCTTCATCTTCACTTTTCGTTTCATCTTTCACTTCATCTTAATCCTCATCTTTCACTTTATATTTCGCTTTATCTTTCGCTTCATCTTTCGCTTCATCTTTTGCTTCATCTTCGGATTCATCTTTCTCTTTTTCTTTCTATTCTTTCTATCCTTCTTTCACTTCTTTATATTCCTACATGTGACATGCTTTTCAAATTACTCAGTCTAAACATCTGTCAGGCTGTATATTTTACATTTTTCATATTTTGTTATATACATTCTAAAATCAAATTATCTACGAACAGAAGAGCGTTAGCAGGGATTAAAAAAAGGCAAAGGATAGATCTGTGAGGAATACTTTCTGATATTTACCAAAACTTTTAGGGCTGTTACGGAATAGCTTTTTGACGTATCTAGTATGACCTGTACCTGTTCCAAGTAGATACCTATTCCAAATACCTATTCCCGTTACAAGCTATTCTAATTCTAAATTTTATGACAGAATATTGTTGTCGCTTGGCAAATATTCAGCAGGGAGTAGGGGAATCCCTGAATCTGGTTAATCCCATAAGCATAATATACTGGATTGTCTCTGATATTTAATATCGATCGATATTGTATTGAAATTAAAGCGTGCTATTGTTTACATAATAATATTAATTACATTATTGTTCATTATGAATAGACGTTCGAGTGTAGTGTGGAATTTGTTTTTTCGGTGGTAGATGACAAAAAATAAATTACAAAATGTAATGTGCAAAACAGTAATTTCTTAAAAAAACCAGTGTCTAATTTAAAAAAAAAACACCTTCTAAGAAAGCACCCTACAGTACAATTACAATTACTTTAAATAATTGTAAAAATGTCACTAGTTCACATATTATAATCCCTAAACAACTAACCTATTAGCAAGAGAGTTGAAACATCAAACGAAAAACGAAACCTAATACCAAAATACTGAATAGGTACACAAACGTATTACAAGTTGCCTGACTAATCCCACATCATTCCGTTTCAATTACGAACATCAGTTACAACGCGCGATAGCATCCAGTGACACAAGTAATAGGTTTGTGTGAAATTTGGTAACAGGTACGCGGAATAGGCAGGAGATACCTATTCCAAAGTAACAGGTCCAGTTCCATTGTAACAGCCCTAAAAACTTTCCAAAATGTTAACCAGTTTACTTGTACTTGTTACTAAAATCAATTTATGACTTATTATTATAATACATGATTATTATGATACAAGTATATTAACTTACTTATGTAAATTTTGACACTTAAACGATATTGTTTACGTTTTTCAAGTTTGTCTCAACTTACGAATGGTAGAGATTATTGCATACCTGAGATGATTACAATCTTTTTAATGCATTGTAACAATTTGTTTTAATGCAGCCTTAAGCAATCAATTGTTTTAAGATGAAAAGTTTTGCCAATCAGCTATTATCTATTCAAAACCTGTTCCTTTATGCTATTATTTGTCATAGATCAATCTCAAGAAACTACGTATTGAAGAATGCAATTTCTGTCTTTTATGTAAGCATTTGTAGCTATATCTCTATATTGGTTAGTTTAGTTGTGTGTAAATGTAGACTATGCGCCAATATTTTTCGTAAGAATATTTTTTTAACTTTTGAAAGGGATAAGAAATCAGGTAATAAAAATGACAGCAATGTCGAAATACTATATTTTTAAACTGGTTAAGTACATACATCAATTAAGATTTAAATAAATTATATATTTTTCTTTGGCAAAGTGAAAATATTGCATGATTTAGTCGAAAAATCGGACAAATTCCATAGCTAAAATATAGCTGGAATCTAAAGGTGCGTATAGGGACCAGGCCAACAATGGGCCCAAGTTCGTCAGATGTGTACGGTGTCGTATATTTACTGCGCGATGGAAAGCGACGGGCCTACCACGAGCCGGGCCAAATAGGATCAAATTAGGTCCGGTTGCTCTGATAGTTTATCAAATTAAAAATAATTGGACAGAAAATAAAGCCCTGAAGTACTATTACATTATTTTCTACCACAAAAATATACTAATTTTAATTTTTTATTAAAATTTGAAGACTTCACCTACCGGCACACGACTTATAAAATAAAGCTTACGCATGATCATCGCGATTATTATCATTAACCAATAAATTTGCCATTCGGTTCAACAAAAAACAACGCGGGCGCAGGTTCCCAAGCCTTTCGCAAGGTTGCCTGCCCGCCGGCCCCATCAAATAACCTTGAGTCATACCATATCGGTCAATTTTATTGTTACTACATACCTGTCACCGTATCGGACCGTTCGCGATAAACAACTGAATAATGTCAGTAACAATTCGTTCTTTGTCGTTGAATCGTCGGTGTCTATAGATTTTCAATTTTTAACATAAAGATATCGTATTTGTATATTGTTTGTTAGTCAGTGGTGGTGCTGCGCAATTTTTACTAAAAGGTGCTAGAAGTTTTGTAATACTGAGAGCTCTAAATGAATTTAATGACAGACACTTTATACATCCTGTATGTTAATTTGTTCTATTTTAAACTATATTCATTATTAGTACTTTGTCATTTCAAAAATCTAATCTTCTTCATTTTATTTGTTACAGGTTCATCACCGGAGTTGATGCCCAGTATTATGGGCGCATTTGACGCCATTATAGGAACCAGTACAAATCACAAAGACAGCGAATACGATCACAAAACCAGCACGCCCAGACGCAGCCATCAAATCAGCAACTTCGCCAATCTCTCTCCGTACGTTCAGAAAGTACTGTCCAACGTTCCCGAACAGGAAATCAGCAAGAAGTTCACTTCAGACGAAACTTTGGGACCAAAAAGATTCGGCAGCAATAGAAGCGTGTACAGATCGTTCAGATCGCCAGAAAAGAGCCTTAATAAAAGCAACGAACACTTGGAGATCATCTCCAGTAATGTCCAAAAGATGTTGTCCAATTTGCCCGATACTGAGTTGGTGATCAGCGCTACAAACTTAACTTTGACCAAAAATAGTTCCTACTTATTCAGTTCTAATAGCAGAACTGAGTTTTTAAATAAAATACTGACCAATGGGGAGGGTGGTGACGAGACGTTGAACGGGGATGGAAAGACAAATGGAGTTAAACAGTTTTTGTACCATTCCGATGGGGTTGGTAAGGGAGAGAACGGTTACGTGAACGGTGTTAGTGAAAGTGAACAATTTGAAGACTGTGATAGTTATAATCCACGACCTTTGGGTAGTTATTTGCATTCATCCCTTGGGATTGCGTCGAGGACGCCGGTTGGGAGGAAGAATTTGGGGAAATACTTACAGGTAAGATTATGTTTTTTTTTTAATAATATTTTCATTTTCATAGAAATGGCAGACAAATTAGAGTTGTGTGATATCGTGATTTTTCAAACACACCATAATAGTTAATTAACTGTAATTAATAAAATTTAAATAATTGAGGTTATGCTACCTCAAGTAAATAACAAATTAAATATTTTTCTGAAAACTTTTATAAAATCCATGAAAGAACATGGTAAACAATGCCAGTTACCAGGTATGTGATGTTAACAACACCAAATGCGAATTTGGCGTTTGTTTGTCCATGATTTGTCTACGTTTCTCCAATAAAAATTTCCGTATACGCACCAAAAATAAACTTTCAAATTAAAAATAGGTTTTTAAAAAATTATTTTTTTTATGTTAAAAATCTACAAAGAATACTAGAATACTAGATAACTAGATAAAATGATAAAAGTTCTAATCAGTGGTTTCCTGAAAACTAGTAACTCGGATAACGCCAACATCTGAAGGATAGTGAAGTCTCTGTTACTCGTCAAAAAAAATATCAAATTTAAAATTCCAGTCGTTGACATCAGCACTGCCATGAAAAGCTTTTATACATTTTAAAATGGCATTCCATTATCTACGATTTGTCCATGTTTGTCCAACCAAAAATGTTTGTCCACTCCCCAAAAGGAAGTATTTGCGTGGTTCTTATGGACCAATTGTGAAAAAATATTTCACTAAACCAATATCTCAATCCATTATCTTAAGCCACATCAGTAAATTTAAATCGTTTCAAATTTGTTGGCACCATTTAGCGCCCCCCATCTATCAACATTTATAATAGAATGCCTCGAAATTGATAGATTATAGCACCTCACGACAGGTTCTACTTCTATTATTTAGAGAATCTTGTTGTACATTAAAATTCACTTTTTCATTAGTTTGTCCATTCTACACATACACAACTATAATGCAGGTAACTGGCCTTCGTGCATATTCATTGGATTGTCTTTACTTTGTCAATGAATTGGTTTAGTGGAATGTCTTCACAATTGGCCTAGGGTAAAAGGTCTCTAAACTTAAAACATTTCATTCAAGATAAATGCGGTAATCCTTTGTCCATTCATCAAGTACTGAACACACATTATTTTCTTTTGTACATATCTTATTCTTATAAACAAGCCCAAAATATAAAAAAAATATTAATATAAGTAATTCTAACTACTATATTCGTTTGTATTTTCATTACTTTCGCTTGTCCAATCCTTATTTTTGTTTGTCCACCCCAAAGAAATTCGTTATTAACAAAGTAAAAAACCAAAAATATTAAAAATTATTAACTTGAGCACTTCTAATTGCATTTTGTTAAAATTAACTATATAAAGAATAAATAAATAATTCGTAGAGTGTATTCAAAATAATTATTTTTCCTAAAACCATAAATATTTCATGAAAACACTGTATATACCTACTATTTAGGTAGAAACTGATAACATAATTATATAGTAAAGTTTACGTCTTTGGTTTAGGAATATTATTATTTACACCAGCTGTGCTTGTAATAGCCATAAAACTACCTGCTGACCCTTTATTATCCGAATATTCAATTTGGATACCTACAATAAAAATATTAACTATTTTGGTTTCTTTATTTCTTAACACGTTCGCAAGGGCCCCGTAAAGTAGTTATTACCTACAGGTGCTATAGGTACGATACGAGACAATAATTATTATGTCCCGTAGTAGGTGCGGGGTATATTCAATATGAAACGTGAGAAAAGTATAGGAACACAATACTATTGAATAGAGAAAAATAGAATATACGTCACTGAGTGCAGACCTCTAAATCGCATTCTTACTCGAAAGGGCGTGGTTATATCAATTACTCTCTATATCGTTATCACGTCTCATCTTTATTTTACCTGATGTGTCGGGTTAATATACTGTATATCCGGTAAACATAGAAACATGTAATTTTTTCTCCATAGACAAATAGACTAAGAATTTAAATATAATGATGCAGGACCTTCATACTATTTAAAGAAGTAATGTTTTAAAAAATTATTAGAATTTATTTTAAAATCAATAGTCTTCACTTTAATAAAACAAAAATAATGAACAAAAGAAATGGAATCAATTTTTCGTATGGGAAAAATGATAATTTATAATCTGGTCTGCGCATTTATGGTATTAACTAGTACACCTTCTGTCATATTTCCTGTTCAGTTTCTGAGCCATTCTGATGAAGCTGATTGTGCAGATCATGATATTCATTATCTCTATATATCTGTTTATATGTCTGTCTGATTTAGGGCGTGGTTCAAAGCCCACTCGTACTGAAGCTCTATACTTATTGTAACACTCACAGTTTCTACCCCATCAGGGGTCTGATAGGCGCTTTCGCGATATCTTCAGGTTCCGGATATTGTACCCGAAGTGCGATTCCCGTTCCCATAATTTAAGGTTCCGACAATCTCATAGTATAGTAAAATGTGAATGAAACTCCTATTCACATATTCTATATAGGGAGTCATCAGATATTCCTAAGATATTTAGATGTAAATAAAGTAAATAAAACATACAAACGGTCAAAAGGACTTATGATCAGTTAAAAACTGTTCTTCCTCAAAAGCCTACATATACGTATAACTATAAAACACGGATGAACAACAAAAAATATATATGTATATACAAACACAACAAAACACTTTTTTGACAGGATTTTTTTAACATTTTTTTCAAGATTTTTTTGCATTGTATACATTTTTTTTTAACATTTTTTTTAACAGTTTTTTGTATCACGTTTTCTTAATAATGGTTTACAATTTTTTACATTTATGGGTTTAATTTAACAGTTGGAAGGATTTGAAAAAATAACGCACTGTTCTTCAAATAATAACTTAGTTATATGCTTTTTATAACGTGGCAAGGACATTTTTTTAAATTCATTTGGAATTTCATTATAATGTTTTGCAATCTGATAAGAGAAAGAATTTTGAAATTGAAATGTTTTATGTTTAGGGATATCTATGAGTTCCTTTCTACGTATATTCATACAAGTGTTGTGAATGTCGGACCTAAATCTAATTTTGTCAAAGAGGTATGTCGGAGAATGTGTAGATAATATTTTATGAAAAAAACACAAAGTATGCGCTTTTCTACGATTTTCCATGTTTAGCCATTTAACTAATTTTAAGGTGTGGGAAATTCTATCAAATTTACGGATGCCGTAAGTTAGCCTTAAACATGAGTTCTGCAATTTTTGGAGCCTCCTTCTTTGTACACAGTCAAGGCAGGGGCCGTAAACATAATCGCAGTAGTTTGCAAGTGATAATACCATAGAGTCACAGAGTTCCTTTTTTAAGTTTGAATTTAAGACTTGTCTATTGGTATAAAGGAGTTTTAGCTTACCATATGATTTTTGCAGAATATGAGAAACGTGACGATCAAATTTAAGTTTATTATCAAATACTACACCTAAATTTTTAGCAAAGTCAGATACTGGCAATAAGTTGTTTTTAATTTTGATATTACAAACATGGTTACTCTTAGGTCCGAATGTTAGAACAGTTGATTTAGACGTGTTAATTACAAGGTCGTGACAAGATGAGAACTCTACTAATGCATTGACATCATCATTAATAATTTTTTCTGAGGCTGTAATTTCAGACGGGTCAAAGAAGTAGTATAGTTGAGTATCATCAGCATACATATGGATGCTGCAGCTACTTATAGCTGATACCAAATTATTAGTATAAATGGTGTAAAGTAAAGGGCCTAAAATAGATCCTTGTGCCACTCCACGCATTACGGGACCAGCATTTGATTTGCTTCCATTAAATACTACTCTTTGACATCTTCCTGTTAAATAATTTCTAAAAAAAATTATAGTTCGTTTCTCAAATCCTATGAAATTTAAAATTGTTAATAATAAGTCATGATTGATCATGTCGAATGCCTTGCTGTAATCTAATAAAACTAATACTCCAATTTTACCTTTATCTCGTTGTTTTAAGATATCATCTGTGATATTAGATAAGGCTGTACCGCAACTATATCCTGGTCTGAATCCTGATTGTGTGTGTGGAAGTATATCATATTTGTTTAAATGATCACGTGTTTGTTGCTCGACAACTCTTTCTAAAACTTTGGAAATGGTTGGTAAAATGGTAATAGGACGTAAATCAGATACACTTTCTAAGGGTTTCGTTTTTGGGATTGGCAGTACTAACCCTTCCTTCCATGATTCTGGAAAAACTGAGTTTATTAAACAGTGGTTAATTATATGTGTTATGTATGGAATTAGAAAGGGACACATTAATTGTAAGGTTTTTATATTAATTCCATCTGAACCACATGCTTGTGTTTTTATATTTAAAATAATTTTTGAAATCTGAAATTCATTTACTTCATGGAATAAAAAATGCATAATGCCATTTTGCACGTTATTATTACTATAAAACTGAGCTAGTTGTTGATTTGCAGGAGTAACTACATTGGAAATTTTTAAAAAATGATTATTAATTTGATTTGCATCTGCATGAAAATTAAAATTTATTTCCTCAGTTTTGCTTGCTAATATATTATGTAGTATTTTCCATTTAGTTTTAGAGTCAGAATTACGAAGTTTTTGTTCTAAATACACTTTTTTTTCTGTTTTAATTGCATTATTTATAAAATTTCTTAATTGTTTGTAATAGTTCCAATGAGAAATATTTTTCGTGGATTTATATTTGGTAAGTGCTTTGTTTCTTAATTGAATCATCAATTTTATATTTTCAGTAATCCAAGGTTTAAACGGTTTTTTAAAGTTACTAGTTTTAAAAGGTACGTGCTTATCAAGTAGATAGTGTATACAATTGTTATAGGTTTTGATTTTTTTATTAATACAATGCTGTTCGTAAATTTGATCCCAGTTTAAGGCTTTTAAATCCTCCTCAAAATTTATTAAATTAAATTTTGAAAAACTGCGGTAGGTTTTTGTAATATTAGTACCTTTTGATACTTCAATATTTCAATGTCTAAGGCCACAGTGT